GTGTGTGTGTAAGTGTGTGTGTGTGTGAGTGTGTGTGTGAGTGTGTGTGTGTGTGTGAGTGTGTGTGTTTATGTGTGTGTGTGCCCGGTCTGCCAGTGTCCTCATCCACCCTCTAGAGCTCAGGTCTCAGAGCCTCTTGCTCTGTCTCTCGCTGTCTCTGTCTGTCTCTGTCTGTCTTACTTTGCCTCTGTCTATCTTCATTATCTGTCTCTGTCTTTGTCTCTCTCTCTCTGTCTATCTCCATTTTTATCTCTGTCTTTCTTTGTGTTTCTCTGTTATCTGTCTGTCAGTCTGTCAATCTGTCTGTCTGTCGACTCTTCAAACCCCCAGTGTAACTCATAAGAACTACAGTACAACCATAGACTACACCAGCCCCCAACGAGGCCACAAACCTTTTTTCAAAAAACACATATTGATTTGGTCACTTTTAAGTACAAGGGGGCTTTCCCGAAAAATGCGGTTTTGAGAAAACCGGAGGTACATATAAAACTTTTGGACCCTTATTCAGTACCTTTAAAAGACAAGGAGAGTTTTCTCTATAACCAAACAATTATACACACTCATGAAACCAAACTTCTCCTATAGGTAGGGCAATGCCCACCATTGGGACAGGTCAAGATTTCTGGACACCCCCAAAATCTGGGTTAGCCCGCTTGTCTTTAAAAGCGACCATTTATACAGCCCTCAGTTCCCGCACGTCCGGGTAAGGATGAATTTACGATTCAATAACAAATCCTAAAACATTGAAGGGATTGCTCACGATCGCTGACCAAAGTTTGGCAAAGACGTGAGTCATAATTGTTTTTTCCCCGGATAATCAACACTGCTAGATCTATGGTGTTCTGAGTGGGCCACAGATGACAATATCCAACTACACACCCGCCTTGTCACACAATGAGTTGTTCCCCATCTAAACTACACACCCGTCTAATCAAGTAATCAAACCATGAAATCCCACAAAGAGTTGTTCCCCTTCTAAACTACACACCCACCTAGTCAAGCCATGATATCCCACAAAGAGTTGTTCCCCTTCCAAGCATGGACAAAGCCTGTAGAACAAAACAAGACAGCCAACTACCTGATACGTCTTCTTCCCCGGCCCCACCAGCTCAAAACTTGCTTCTTTCTTCGCAGCATCTTTCACATTTTGTGGAGCATTGACGACTTCATATCCTGTACAAAGTTCGGAAAAAAACATATGTGAGACATCGAGGTGAAACCAGGCGCTCTTCATTAGAAGGAAATTAAAGAAATCGGCAACTTTTTGGCGAAGGGCAATTTTGTCTAATTTTTCTTTGTTTTTTTCCCTCAACACCTTTTATGTCCCTTAAAAAACACATTTTTGCATGGATTTTACTGAAAAACATTGATGAAAGGTACAAAAAATGTAAATTTTCAATGTAGAAGAGTTCCGGAGATCAGCTACTAAAACATGGCCGACTAGTAAACATGACGTTGCATTTTGCAGCCTCACACCCAGTCTGTCTAAATCAATGTTCTACTGATTACTCCTAATCCTACAAATCCCTATGACATGCACCATTTTCAGCAAAGTTCACAGTCAAGTGGAATTGCAAACGCACAGTAAGGAAGAAAAAGAAGGAAAGAAGAGGAAATGAAGGCAAAAGCGACAAGCACGTTTGTGAGAGTGTGCGCCCGGTACGTACCTGTGACAAAGAAGGCTCCCTTCTGTTTCTTGTCCGAGGGCTTCTTGAAGCAGTACAGGATGTTCTTGTGTAGCACACAGTACTGCTTCTGCCAGGTGGAGAATAGCAGGTCTGGGGGGAGAGGGAGGAGAGGTAAGAGAGGGAGGAGAGGGAGGAGAGGGGGGAGAGGGTAAGAGAGGAAGGAGAGGGGGGAGAGGGAGGAGAGGGAGGAGAGGGGGGAGAGGTAGGAGAGGGGGGAGAGGGAGGAGAGGGAGGGGAGAGGGGGGGAGGGAGCCACAGACCCACACCTTCTTGTCTCATGGTTGTCTTTTTTTGTGTGTTAGTAAGCGTTTTACAGCATTCGCAACACAATAAGGTCATATAAGTGCCGAAGATTAGAGGCGTTACAAGATAGTAACAAACATAAAAAAGAAGGAGGAGAGATAAAGGCGATTGTTTGATAGGAAAGAAGGAGCAAACCACACCAGAGCACCCGCCAACCACCCACGTCTGGGATTCAAACCAGGGCCATGCCCCCTGTAGTCCCACGTGCTAGCAGCTGAGGCAAGGGAAGGCCCACAGTGCCAGTTACCTTCACAAGTTGATCAAAGTTGACGTTACAAAATCTGTGTCTTCTGAGCACTTAATGTGTATACACATGTTTGTGAATACGTATTTATAATATATGTATCTGAGCAGATGTCTTTACGACTTTACATGTCCGTGTATATGTATATATATATATATATACAACACAAAATATGTATCTGAGTAGATGTGTATACCTGTCTGTGTATACATGAGGATCTAGCAAATACAATTCTCTATAACCCCTCCGCCCCATGCCACCACCCCACCCCACCCCACCACTCCACCCCCCCCATCCACCACCCCACCCCACCCCACCACTCCGCCCCCCCCCCACCCCACCCACCCACCCACCCCACTCCACCCCTTCCCCTGCAATGACCGCCCTCCTAAATAAATTTTCCAGATGAGATTAAAAACATTCAAATACCAACATATTTCTTACTGAAGTTTTCGATGTCAAGATCTTCCTCCAATAATAGCATATAAAAATCTGCCAATCTTTGAGGAAATAAAAATGGCCAATCAGCCGTCACATATGAAAAGAACAACCAACCTTTCTGCTTCCTGTCCAGGAATCCCATCTTGGTCGAGTCATTGAGAGCCTTCACGGTAGTTTCCGGAATATCTGCAAACGACAAACACAGATTGGAAAAGGGACAGTGCACTGGGAGGTTTCTCCCTATCCCACCAGTGAGCAAACGTCAACTACTACAGCTGACAAGACGGTGAGATAAATACAAGTACATCTACAAGATGTTTTCCAAACTGACCACCAAATGTGAGGCAGCGCGGTGGAATCAGGCTCTCGTCAAAATAATGAAATCAAAGAAAACAGCAGTTTTCTCCCTGCTTAGCAATTTTTATCCAATTTTTTTTTTTTCGGCTCAACACCTTTTATGTCCATTTACAAACACATTCCTTTGAGGATTTCACCGAAAATGTTGATTAAAGGCACAAAAATATAGATTTACAGTTTCCATGGACTCTCCAGCTTTGGAATTTACCAAGCTTTTACTGCCATTTTCTGGCTAATGTTACCTCTTAAATCAGGTGACCTCCACCTCCTTCACTCCAAAATATCTCCACTTCTATTGAAGATGGATGGGTAATTTTTTCATTGAAAGAAAGACAAATGAACAAGCTTTAAGATGATACCAATAGTTCAATATGCTGAAAAATTGATGAGAGCCTGATTCCACCACGCTGCCTCACAAATTGTAATCTGAGGACATACATGCTTAGCATTCTGCACATCCGAACTTTCGTAAAACTGTCAAAGAGATCCCACACTGAGGTCAAAAATGGGAACTACAATATTAGCTAAAGCCAAAAATAATACACGCCACGATGGTTTGCTTTATGCAAAATAACGTTCTCCACGATCAATGTGAAGTGTTAGAGTAAGTTATTGATGTGCAGACATTGTCATAAGCGCCAGTTGAAAGTCCTGGGCTCATTTCTTCAATAGTAGTTGTTGAATCAAGGCATACACTGAAACATACATACAAGCGAACACACACATACACACACACACACACACACA